TTAGGATGTTGGAGTCACCTTTTCCTGATGGTTTTCTTTGGGTTTAAAAACACCTACTATGTAGTGTTAAAAAGGAGATGGCAGGGCTCTGTGTCAGCTAAACTCCACAACGGCAAATGCAGACTTCATACCTAACCCAACTGCAGTCTCAACTCCCAGGGAAAGGAAACTTTAACCAATCAGCTTGAAATGACCTGGTCAGCACTAGTGCGATAACCTGCCCAATAGACCCCTTCTGTCACCTTTAGAATGACAACCATGTCTGAAACAGTGCATTCTTCGCTAGTAGTTTGCCTTTTCCACCCCCTTTCTGCCTTAAAAGTATAAAAAAAAAACAACTTTCCTTTTCTGTAGGTTGGCAGGGCTTCTTTCTATTGCTAGATGGATGCTGCCTCATTCATGAATCATTGAATAAAGCCAATTTGATCTTTAAATTTACTCAGTCAAATTTTTGTTCTTTAACAATAGTAATTTAAATTGTCATAAGGTATTGCCTTGCCCAGGTCATGCTGTCTCTCATTGTACTTTAACTAAACGTGAACAGATGACAGAAACAAACTTAAAGCTTCCTAGAGCCAGACAGAATTGGAGATATCAATGAGTTTAATATTGACTTTAACATCTGAAGAAGCTGATACTCGAAATGGAAGCAAATTGCCCAAAACCAGATTGTTAAGCAGCCATAAAGCTTGACTGGCTCCTCGTTCTCTACCTGGTCCACAGCTCTTACCAGGTTTATTGTCCGGTGGCTTTTTACCATGATCTTTGTGAAGAAAATAGATGTCCAGTATGAACAGGAGATGATGAGCCATGGTACAGGAGTGAATTATGAATTTGCTAAGGATATTTTCAGATAAACCTTATGTGCGGTAACATCAATGGAAACAGAGGCTACATACATACACATATTTATAGAATTTTGAATTATATCTACCTTTCGCTTACTATGAAGTGGGAGCATCTTCATTCAATGGTGTCTCTATCCATGCCCTTCTCTTGTAACAAATGAGGTTCCTAACATTTTCTCGGGTATATCTTCTGATTTCTGATATAAATGCCTATGCCTGCTTTCCCCATTGTCTAGATTCCTCCCACCGTTCCCCTTTTACATCTGCTTATTCGTCTTCCCAGATTAAAATCAATTGAGACCTATCCAACGGGGTCTATCCAGATCTCTCTGTCCCTCGACATGCTCATATTCTACTTAGTATTAGAGCTACAGAGTATCTATCTTAGGTCAGCAACCGTGAAACCACCTAGCATTTATGTAGCCAACTTTCAGTACCAACTCTGTTCCTCACACTATGAGTCGCTTACTGAACATTCAGCAAGGTTGCATTAATGAAGGAATAAATGAATGGCATCTATAAGTCCATCCAGGACCATTCACTGCAGGGCAAATCCTACAAAATCCAAATCTGACAAATCCTAAGAAGCTTCTCTCTATACTGATATATTTGATGTCCCTTGCCTTGGTTCCTCCAGTATCTTAAAGCAGCAAGTTTGTCCTATGCCCTAGGGTCAACCCTACATAAAAATTGGCTTCCCGAGCCCTCCCAATGTTTTCAGTCTCCAAACTGAACTGTAGAGCACAATTTATCTTATATTCAACTTGCTACATACTTTCCATCTCTTTGATTTTGAATGCCATTCCTTCTGTCCTCACTTACTACTTTTCTTCTGTATTCAGACCTAATACTTAATCTTCTTTTTCCAAATCTGAGCAGAACCTTCCCTTCTTGACTATCCTATGACTGCCTTCTTTATATCCCTTCTGGACACCCAATAGCTTATCACAAGCAACATGTAATTAAAAGAACTCAATTTCTACCCAGAAAAACTACCATCCATGACAACACTATGTACCCAAACCATGCTTTTTCTCTCCCTAGTTGAGACCATCATTGCTTAGGCTGGTGCTAATGCCTGCTCCATGGCAGACACTGTGCTGTTTTGGGGGGAATACAATGATGCATGCGTTCGAGGACCTCATGTATAAAGTGGATAGTGTGAATGTAAAGAGGTAATTACAACCATGTGAAGAACACTTAACCTTGGAAATCAGGACAGTCCAAGATTGAACCCGGGTACCAAACTCAAATTGGGACGATACCAGAGAAGGTTTTCTTCAGCAGGTCATGCTTGAAGTGAATCTTAAAAACAAAGGAGCAATTCATTATAGAAGCTGCAAAAGGATGAAAGTCGTCTGACACATCTCTGGATCTTCACAAAGCATCCAACACAAATGTCCAACAAAAATATAAGCCCCTAAGCTTCAATTGCTACAATGCTAGCTCAAATATAAATTTATACCTCACAGTTATATTTCTGTAATGATCTTTCTGCTTTTAGTATCTCTTCCTATCCCTTTCCACCATCCATCCTTTGGGTTTATATCTTATTAATCTCACCAAAGCATCACGTTTTTCATGTGGAGCCCCAGAGCTTATTCAATAAGTTCCAAACTTCATAGCCAAACATCCCAGGCCCCCATACTGAGACCCCAATCTACTTCTCCAAACATTGCTTTTCTGCACAAACCATCCGCAATGGTCATTTAAGTCTACATCTTTTCCCTGAGGTGCAGTGTGCAGTCCTTCAGAGGGTACAAAGGTCCTTTAAGAAGTTTATAGAGCAGAGGAATAGATCAGTGAAGAAAAGGACGAGCAGAGCCCAGGGAAGATTTTCAGGAACCCAAGGGCCAGACCGTGACTGGACAGAGTAAAGGAGGAATTAGAAGGACCAGCACAAAGTGTGCTTTTTTTTTTTTTAAGTTTTTTTTAATTTTTATTTTTATATATTTTTTTTATTTATGATAGTCACACACAGAGAGAGAGAGAGGCAGAGACACAGGCAGAGGGAGAAGCAGGCTCCATGCACCGGGAGCCCAATGTGGGATTCGATCCCGGGTCTCCAGGATCGCACCCTGGGCCAAAGGCAGGAGCTAAACTGCTGTGCCACCCAGGGATCCCTCTTTGTTTACTCAAATTATGTGGGACCCTTGAGTGTGCCAAACTGATCAAGGACAAGGTTTTGCAAATTTTCAGGACTTTTGCAAAATGCAGCAAAAGGGCATTTTCCCTTTTTATATTTGTAGCTGTATTCCCTGTGTCTGAAACAGCAAAGGCAGCATGAAAACACAAATATAATAGAGGAGCAATATGTCAACTATTTTCATCCAAGCCAAGAATCACTGGAATGGAGAACAGGGGTTCAGGTGTAACACACTTTGATGATTCATTCTGTCTTGGTGTCTGCCTTCTTGTGCTAACAACCCCTCTGTGCTATTTCCTGCACCTTCACCCCTGTGAGTACTGGCATCTGAAAGAACCTTAATTTTTCTGCCAGTTGCATCAACTCATTTGCAAATGTGGAACTTCAGCCTTTATTAATTTCCTTCTTTTCTGTTGTTCTATAATTGAATTACAGTATGGTCAGTAATCTGTCCCTTCATTCTCTGGCGTTCAGCATGGTGCAATCATTAAAATTGTTGGGTAGGAGATGGTCACATTTTGTAGATCAGTGAATTTGATAAAGGTTTAGTGCACAGGCGTGCGCATGCACACACACACACACACACAGCAAATTTCTTTCCAAAGATGATTGTATAGTTTGTATGTAGACAATAAAAGAAGCAGTAGACCGCAAACATCCCCAAATTCTGGGTCCCCATTGTGCTTGATATTTATTCATTCTAAAATATTTAGTTCACTGTATTGTGCTTTTATCTTTACCTTTCACCATTCCCCCTTCTCCTGACTGTGAGCTCCTGGAAGGTAAAGGATAAAACTCCAAGGACCAACCTATTTATGGTATGTCACAAATGCTTAATAACTGGGCTTAATGCTGCCTGTGTCATAGGCTAGCTACTCCCTGGAATTGAAGACTAGATATGATCTAATAATTAAAAATGTCTAATGCAGAGACTCCAAGCTCTTATTTTATAATCATCCTTTCCCCACATTGTTTAGGGTTTTAGGGAAACTCTAAATTATTTTAAGAAATTTTGAGAAATAAAAGTTTCTCAAATTAAAAAAAAGAAAAAAGACCTAGGACCCATTCAATTCTATCTGGGCTAATGTGTGTTTTTACAGAGACCAATATCCAGGACAAACACCAAAAATGTGTCCCTATGGCCTTGTTGGTCTGCAGTGTGTGTCACTCACACATACACATACACATACACGGCCTTGCACAAGACCGTGGGTCTCTGTGATCAGCAATACTGGCTTTCTACATATCCGGCTGATTTCAGGAGTGTGTGCATGGAAAGGAAGCAAGCTCACTCTGAGCTAGATTCGTGTCCTGGCCAGAAAGATATTAAGAAATATCAGGCTCATTAGTAATTAAGAATATGTAAATCTTAATAAAATGACATGCCATTTTGTTTGTCAAACTGATGATTAAACAAACACCCAGAACTGGTAAAAATGGGAGGTCATAGGTTCTTTCATGTTCTCCTGGTGAGAATGTATTTTTGAAAGGCAACTTGTACACACCCTTTAACCTGTAACTAATCTGAGGAATTTTTCCCACAGAAATCCTCATGAAAATGCATAAAAATGTGTCTTCAAAAATATCCATTGCAGGATGGTTGAACATCAGACAAAACAACAAACACTAAATAGTCTGGATAAACATCAATAAAAAAAGTTTCAATAATTCATGATGTATCCAAGTGAAGACTATTATGCAACTAATAAAAAGAATGAAAAAGCCTTCATGGATACACATGTATTATTTTGTGAAACTCAGGTGACAGCACAATATGTGTAGAATGATATCTCTCTGTATTTGTGTGAGCATATATATTTCTCCATATATATTTCTGGAAGGGAATCCACTCAATTCTTTACAGTTGTTGATTATAGTTATTCTTGCAATGCAGGTTTGAAGGAGAGATAGACAGTACAGGCACTTTCATGGATTTGTTTCTTTTTTAATGGATTTCTTTATATTCTTAATGCCATGAAAACATGGGAGAAGTTTCTGAAATTTTTCTATTATATACACATGTCTATTTTGCTTTCTGAGTCATAAACCGATCCATAAATTGGCCAAATATTAGGGGTGCTTTAATTTCCAAGAAAATATTTGAATAATAATGTGAATAGGGCGTTAGAAAGTTTTCTCTACTCTTTTCAGTCCAAGAATATTAAAGCAGGGATGCCCGAGTGGCTCAGCGGTCGTGCAGCTGCCTTCATGTGATCCCAGGGTCCTGGGATTGAGTTCTGCATCAGCTCCACACAGGGAACCTGCCTCTCCCTCTGCCTGTGTCTCTGCCTCTCTCCGTGTGTCTCTCATGAATAAATAAATAAAACCCTAAAAAAAGGAAAAGAATGTTAAAGCAATAGGTCAGCACCTCCGACTTCCAGAGAGAGATCCCTGGTAACAGTGTGATGGTTTCTGTTTCCTGCTTTCCTATTTCTGCAGCTGTCATTTAGGCTCAGCTATAATTCCAAGGGTGGAAGGAAATCAATACCATTCAGAACCTCCCCAATGAGTTTGCTAGCTGGCTCCTGGGGCCACACTGTGGAGACAGAGTTATCTCTTAATCTCTCCCAGTCTTAGCAGATACCACTGACGTTGCCAGCTACAAATTTTTAGATCATGCGAGATTCCTCCAAATTTAGTTTAACGTATAGTTTTGATGACAGTAATCACAAATGATAATAATTCTGTAAGTTCAAACAAGACTGCAGAAAGAGAATGCATACAAAAAGCCAGAGAATAAGACAAAAATACCCTACGTCTAGGTATTTCGTACATATAATTTTATTTTTTTGAAAAGATTTTATTTATTTATTTATGAGAGACACACAGAGAGAGAGAGAGGCAGAGACATAGAGGGAGAAGCAGGCTCCCTGTGGGGAACCTGATGTGGGAATCAATCCCAGGACCATGGGATCACAACCTGAGCCAAAGGCAGATGCTCAACCACTGAGCCACCTAAGTGTCCCAAAAAGGAAAGACTTTTAAGGGGATAGAGGGAGTTGAAAAATGGAAATTCTTAGCAAAGATCCATTGTTTCAGGCAAGGCCACCACCTTCCTAAGAGAACGAAAAGGAGTCTACCAGTCAATTTCCTAGTGATGTCCAGGAAATCCCTTGCTGACTAGTTAAAGGTTAGGTTAAAACTTCAGTTAGAGTAGGTATTAAGTCTTAGTTTACTGACTTGGGGCCTTAATCTACAGGACACCATTTGGGACTAGCAGTTGTCTTTTTAACAATTGAGAAGGAAGTTGAGACTGAGAAGAACTCCCAAGTCACACAGTTCAAAAGTACCAGGATTAGAATCTAGGCTTGTCTGACCCCAAAACCTGCATTGTTTCTTCCAGAACATGTTGCCTTTCAAAGCATTATGATTTGGTGAAGAAAGCTGGGGAATTTGCCTTTTCAGTCTCCAGGCATTTTTCTTAGAACCACCGATTTTTATTTCAGTCACCTGGATCGTTTCTCACTGGGTGGCCAGGACCTCTACCTGTCTCGGTTGTATTAGGTGAGGCTGATTCTCACATGGGTGTTGTCCTATAAGCCCTAGAATTTCCAGCCCCAGGCTATAAAATCACAAATATTAGGCATCATCATTATAGAGAAAACACAACGAGGAACAGCTTCAGCCAACCCAAAGTGTTGGCTCAGAACAATTTAGAAACAGACAAAAGATTGTCCAAATGTGGATACAGATGCACATATTTCAGAGATCGACCCACACCATGAAATTTCCCTCTACATTCTTGAGTTTCCTGCCATCCAGGCCAGTGAGGCTGTTCTGGCAGGTGAAGCCACACCACAGTTTGAACACTGGACAAAACTCAGGTTGGATTTTGAAAACCTGGCCTGGAACTCAATTTCTTTATTCCTTATAATGGCTACATATGACTTAGACCCCGTTAGCCTCAGTTGCTTACCTGTAAAATGGGGATGTTGGGTAATACTGCCACAAGAGTTTGCAAATGGAGATGTTTATTTTAAAATCCATACACAATATACTCACCCACAAATAAATTCACAAAATCAGTCACAGACAGTTGTGAGTGCCTTTTAGGTGCCTTGAGGTTGTGTGCCCTACACAACCGGACCAGAGCAAAGGGAGGATTTCATTCCCAGGTTCCTGGGGACACAGGGACACAGGATTAGTGGGGGTTAGGAGAGGCAAGCAACAGGGGAAAAAGAAGCTGCAAGTATTTTGGCCTGTAATACCTGATCATTATGTACTGGTAGTCATGACTTCCTTCATAACACATAAAATCCTTAATAAGACAAAGAAACATCTAATCATGATGGCCATGTCACACTTTTCCATGAGGCAGGGGCAAGAAGCAATGGGGGCTTGATTTCAACTTTTTTTTTTTTAATTGCCAACATTTTAATAGGACTTTCAAGAAGGAATTATTTTTAAAGTAATTCAGCTTAAAACTTTAACTAAGAAATTCCAGTAGCCAAGGCCTTCATTCGTATTTATCAAGACATTGCCAGAATGACATTTCTGATTTTGGTGAAAATACAGTTGAAGGGAAATCGGCCCCAGTGACATAGGACCAGTTTGCTCAAGTGAAAATTAAATCCAATCACCATCCTACACAAAATACATGCTATGTTTGCAATATTCTTGTATCTGTGGTGGGTTTATATAAAAAGTAAACAAGATATTTTACAATCCATATTTAGTGATGTGCTTATACAATTAGAGACTTTTATGAATCATCTTCATTATGCATTTAAACAGTTCATAAAAGTTATGAGTCCAATGTATTCACCCCTTTTTGTTGTTGTAAACCTTTAACTACAAATGCACTGAGAACAAAGGAAGGAAAATGTGCATATTCTGGCGGATTCACACCAGCCCCTGCTTCAATTATGCATGAATTAACAGAAATGAATTTGCAGCGTTTTATTTCTTGGTGTAATGGAGCTCAAGTATTTCATAAAGTGTAACCGTACAGCAAATTCTGGGCCCATTTTAGAATAATTAGCACATTGATGTTACTTGTGTAGTTAAAAGGAAATGTTAAAATTTCCCCATTGTAAGCATTTTTTGAAGGCTCACTCTGTTCTCTAAAGTGAGCCATCTTTCACTCAGAAGAAAGCTGGAAGCTCCATCTTCCCTGCATTTCATCTTCTTCCTCTTATACCTCGATTAAAAATACTAGTGCTTATTCAGACAAGTTTTAATTATGGCCTGGAGCAAGTGGAAGAGCCTGAGTAGATGAAGTAGGTAATTTTTTTAAATGATGCATGTGCCTCAAGTTGGTCTGGCTCAGTCCTGTGAATAATTAAGGCTGAGCTAAGGGAGACCTAAAATCTGTAAGTTCAAATGTCTTCATTTAACATTCTCACCAAAATGTGACATCCTCATATCTCTTTCCCCCACCCGTTCAGTAAAAGGAAAGTCACCCTCTGGAGAGATGGAAGGAACTAACAATGACAGTTTCTGTGCTCTGTTAGACCCACTACTATGTGAGGTTTATCGTATTCCTTGTTCTCTGAATGCTCACACAGTTCTATGAGGTCAGCAATGAGCACGGTCATCTCTGTTTTGTAAATGAGAATAGTAAGGCTCAAGACTGTTAAGTAAATTTCCCAAAGTCACCCAACCCCACCAGAGCAAAGGGAGGATTTCATCCAAATTGGTTAAAGTCCTTAGTGGTTCAGTTGGCTAAGTGTCTGCCTTTGGCTCAGGTCATGATCCTGAGGTCTGGGGATCAAGCCCCACATAGGGCTCCCTGCTCAGTGGGGAGCCTGCTTCTCCCTCTCCTGCTCTCCTCTTATTCTCTCTCTCTCTCTGTCAAATAAATAAGTAAGTAAGTAAATAAATAAATAAATAAAATATAAATTAGTCCAAGTCTGGACTTCATCTTGCTACATCTGTCCCAGCCCAAGGTGACTGACGATTTAAAGTGACAGAGGCTATTTGAGTAGGTTCAACAGAAATCGCAAAAAGAAATTCTTTTAATTTAATTTACTAACGTTATGCATTGTGCAGAAGGTTGTTAGAGACACTAACAAAGCTGCAATCTCCTAATTCTGGAGAATATTATCAGGAGATGGTGGAGGACTTCAGTGCCAGTAAACAGAGGGGAAACCAGGGGGAACCTGGCAAAGCCCCAGGAGCTGCTCTCCATTATCGCTGAGACCTGATGACGAGATTTGCACTATAAATTGTTTTGACCTGGTAGAAAGAGCTTCCCAGATAAGTTCTGATAGCAAACAAAATAAAAAATAAGAAATTTGTGATTGTTTTTAATATCCATTAACAAGCATTTACTGAATGACCACATGACAAAACTATTCTGGGCCTTAGGAATAAAACTTTGAAATAATTGGATGGATCCTGTTCTTACAGAGCTACATGAAGCATGAGAGACAGAAGAGCAAAGTAGATACTTTATAACCTAAAGAGACACAAGTAAGGCAAGCATCTGATGATGGATGCTGGGGTTGGCAATTTTGTTTTGTTCACTGACATACCTCGAGCACCTAGTATCTCACACAAACTAGGTGCTCAATACATACAAAAGAGAACTAGGGAGCATCTAGGAGGCACATTGCATGCAGATTTGGTGATAGGTGGCTCAGGAAGGCAAGTAAACATTTCTGAGAGGGAGTGATATCTAAAGAAAAACCAAGAAGAGAAAGTAGGAGTTAGTCTGGTGGTAAAAGACGGCTGTGAGGACACATTTGCAAAGCTCAGCAGGAGAGAAGAAAGTCTGGGTGTCCCCTTTCTTGGAAAAAAGAAAATACTTCCAGTCTTTGTATACAGGCTGCAGGGGCCAAGCGCAGAGACTAGAGAGGCAGAGAGTGCAGGGAATCCTTATAGCAAGGAGTGTGGCCCTAGTGAACCCTCCGTGGTAGATTGCTGGGTCTCTGGACTGAGAAAAATCTAGGGGATTAAAAGCAGGACTTTTCAAAATACATCCCAGGATTCCTTTCTTAAAAAAAAAAAATTAGAAAATGCTGGGATATTCAAAGTTTCTGGTCTTTTTTTATTTCCTATAAGATAATATGTTTTATAAAAGATCAGATGAAAATATTGCATATATTGCTTTTAAGTTTATTTGACCACAATTAGTAACTTCAGAAATCAGTTTGGGAAACACTGAACTAAGCCATTGCATAAGATCAGCTATAAGGCTCAAATCTTGTCCCACTCACTGGTCTCATCTAGAACTCATTCACCCATCTAGGTGGTTATCTATGAAGATTATCTACTGTGGTTAGGAAGAGCTCTGGACACACAGATGCCCACAAATCATACATTGTTCTATTATACTCTACCATGGGTAAATCTCCATATCTTGGTTTGAGTTACAGATTTCTTCATATCCACTTCTAGTTTCAGATCATTACTGAGAATAGATTGGCTAATCCTACTCCATAGTGCTGGAACTGCACCTCTGTATCTAATTCTTACAGAGTATCCTTTCAAATGACTAGAACTTGCTTCTGTATGTTCTTTGAATATACTTTTTTTTTTTAACCAGGGATCCCCATTTCTGGCTTCTATGGAATATCTTTCCATAGTACATACTCTTCTTCTTATTTTTTTCCTATAAGATTATTTATTTATTTATTTATTTATTTATTTATTTATTTATTTATTTATTTATTTGAATCACACAGACAGAGGCAGAGAAACAGGCTCTCTCCTGGGTACTTGATCCCAGGACCCCAAGATCATGACCTGAGCCAAAGGCAGACACTCAACCACTGAGCCTCCCAGGCATCCTGTGCATACTTTTCTTGCACTGAGTACCCTGTAGAATTGAGCCTCTTCATAAGTCAAATGATGGTGAATCACAACCAACCTTACCACCCATCTCTGCTTACAAAACATTGACCATCATCCACGTTTGGAGTCTGGCACTTTGATGAAATCAGAAATCTGAACTCTGGTCTTCCTGGTCTGGCCTTATTATTCTCTTTCACCTCCAACCCCTACCATGTTGTCCAAAGCTATACCACTTTGAAGTTAAAACACCCTGAACAAACAGAAGAGGGAAAATAGGGACAAGTAATTACTAACATTCCAACAGTGTTATTGCAAACAAACAAATTAGTTTGTTTTAAATATGCAAACTGTTGGCAAACTACTGCGACATTAGTTTTTATACATGTGTTGACTCTCATTTATTTTACCCCTTTCATATTATTGCCACTGGGTGGCCAGTTTCCACATGGGGTGATAACAACCCCACTATCCTCACATTGAAATTGCCTTTTCATGAGTGTCACTTTCCTTGGTGCTCCCATAGGAGCTGACTTAGCTCTCTTCAGTCACAGATGGTGATCTTCATCTCTTATCTTCCCTATTGAAAGCTCTTTATACTCCTTATTCATCAGATTTCTTTAAATAGGTTTTAGATAAGCTTCAAGGCCACATTTTGGGCATCTGATAAAAATGTCCTCGAGGGCTTGCTTTTTGTTAAATTCCTGTTAAGTCTAATAAATATTGAGATTATGGCTAGAGTGTTGGTTTCTTTAGCCACATTTAATTTAAAATTCACAGACACACACACTCTTACATAGTTTCTCCTTACCACTCTCATGCTCACTCAAATCTATTTGTTTTCAATCCTGTGTTGCAAAATTCTCAAGGCCAAAATTGCCAACAATGAAGTGTAGAATGTAAAACTTTATTTCTGGACCCTGACTTCTATAACATAAGGCTTTGTTAGGTATTTATTTATTTATCTATTAGTTATTTTCTCCTTGGTTTCCCTGAGGATTACAATTAACATGTTGATTTATAGCAACTTAGTTCAGATTAACACAGACTCACTTTCAGTATTATATAAAAAGTTTACCCTTTCATAGGTTTGTTCTTCTCTACTTCATTTTGTTGTTGTCTTACAGCATACATCTTTGCCAATAGAACTATTATTTTATACATTGTTTTTAAAATTGAGTGGGAGTGAAAACTGAGTTACAAACATAAAAATACACCAATATGGTCTTTTTCATTCACTACGTATGCAACTAAACCAGTGCTATTTTATTTCTTCATATGGATGCCAGTTACTAGTCAGCATTCTTACACTTCAGTTTAAAGGACCCTGTCAAATTTTCTTTTAGAATGCATTTTCTAGCCACAATTTATTTGAATTTTTGTTT